AAAGGACAATTTGCGTACAGAAAGTTATTCTTATAAAGAACAGAAACTTTTACAGTGCACTAGAAAACAAAACAATGTAATGAAAAATGAAAAAAACTCTGACTACTATTACTTGAGCAACAGAAAAATGATCCTGAGTAAGCTTGCTGGCCTTCTATTTCCGAGAAAGTTTAATAAGCGCACAAGTTTGTTCACTCTGATGCGTTATAACAGCAATATGGTTCTTTGACTGACGACAAAGATAAAGCTGATTCTGCAAAGGTAATAAATCTGGGCGTGTAAAAAAAGTAACCGTAACTACTAATAACAGAATACAAGCGGGTTTTAATTCAACCCGGAGAAATCAACTCATAAATCAATCGGATGCACAATTAGAAAAAATACTCGCCTCTTTAAAAATGTTCAAAACCTTTTATTCCACCTCAGAGTGACAGAATGATCCATTTTTCCTTTAACATTGGTTGTTCTGAATCCAAAATAATTTTCAAGCCACGAAAAAAAGCAAACATGTCAAATAAAAATGCTTTACAGGGAGCAAACGTTCGCACCTCGTGCATTTCACTCAGAACTCCAGCAACAAACAAACACAGTCAACACACAGAAAAGCCCGCCTTGAGCCTGCGGTAAGGGATACGCAGAAGCTTGCGCAGAACGTTTTTCCGCCCTGAAGGCTAAAAGTTGTTGTTCAGGAAACCGCCATCTCTGAACGCTTAGGCCATCCTCTATTTTTTCTGCCTTTACCGTCGTCCGACCGACCCAAATTTTTGGCATTTTCTAAAAAAAGAAAAAAGTAACGAAGTGGATACACCATTTCTCACTTGAAATAATTCTTTTTTAGAATCTGAAAAATGAGCATAGTAACAGCATAGAGAAAAACGGGAACAAAAACATGAACATTGTTTCACGGTATATTGTACATTTTGTTAATCCAAATATGTGATATTAACTTTTAACGTCGTCCTGGGGTATCAGGGCCTACTATTCCGAGACTTCTTTTGAAGAGAAGACTTCTTGAGACGAGACTTCTTGTTTTTTAATCCGACCGACCGACCCAAAAAAGGGGATGGCCTTAGAGCAACTTTCTCGACAACACCAGTCATCGCGCTATGTCAGACCGTGCGCTCTCGAGAAAGAGCTGTCCAATTTCTTTTTCAGTCCGGTCCCCGCCTATATCTATCGCCACAACTTTGCCGACAGACGTGTTTGCATTCCTTGTATGGAAAGATCGTGGAGGACGAACACGCGTCCATCAACCGGACTGCCAGTGCCCTTTACGTCTTGCTCATGGAGTAGTAAGACTCTCTAGTTTATAATAGGCAAATTGAGATCAATTTACTAAAAGTTTTTTTCTTGCTGTTAGTACAACGCAAAATCTTAAACGTTGATAAAACGGCTTCCAAATGGCTCTAGAGGCGAAGAGACAGTAAATAACAAAACACAAACACAAGGTAAGTGATTTTTATTTCTATTTTTGTCCAAAACTGGAATTTAAGACGTACTTTGTTTATTTTCATACATTCTCTTATAAATTCAAAGTCCAACAAAATCCTACAGAGTTTGGGCTGCCTGTGAAAGATCTATGATTTATATCCTCGCGAGGGATCAAGCTGTCTTGAAGTCCCTGTTTTTCGCAGCAGATCGGGCAGTTGATTTGTTAGGCTTGAAAGCGGTTGATATCCTGCTCTTTCCAGACAAGTCAGGATTTTTGATCAACCATATTTGGACTAAATCTTTATGATCGTGCGTAATGATTTTGCTTTTAGGCCATCCTCTTTTTTTTCTCCGTTTAGTGTCGTCCGATCGACCCAAATTTTTGGCATTTTCAAAAAAAAAAAAAAAGTAACGACGTAGCTAAACCATTTTTCACTTGAAATAATTCTTTTAATCTGAAAAATGAGCATGGTAACAGCATAGAGCGGAAAAACAGAAACTAAAGAGGAACATTTTTGGCAGTATATTAGGGTACCAGGGCCTCCTATTCCGAGACTCACGGTGACCTTTTTTTTTTTCAATCCGACCGACCGATCCAACATCAGGAAACACATTCGACGCCAAACGAATTTTTTCACTTGAAATAATTCTTTTAATCTGAAAAATGAACATGGTAACAGCATAGAGCGGAAAAACAGGAAAAAAAAAGAGGAACATTTTTTGCAGTATTTTAGGGTACCAGGGCCTCCTATTCCGAGACTCACTGTGATTTTTTTGATTTTTTGTCAATCCGACCGACCGATCCAACGTCAGGAAACACATTCGACGCCAAACGAAAAAGAAAGGAGGAGTGGCCTTAGAAGGGGTGAAAACGCAGTTATATGCCCCGTTAAAAGTCTGAAATTGTATTTCAATATTTGTAGGCTCCTCAGAATAGAATTACAGTCAGGGTATCTCTTTCGTTCTGTAAAAAAAGGGGGAAAATTTCTTTTAAGGCTCTAGAGCCACAGGCAGCCTAGGCTAGATTAAATGAGTATACAAATGCAGAATTTGTGCGAGATAAATTACATGTAACCAGTGATCGTTTTACCCTTCATGGTTTTCGGAGAGGTGCGGGGATTTCGTTAGCTCTTGCTGGGGTCTCCTTGCATGAGATTATGGATCATGTTGGCCGGGAAAACAGGAGGACAGCCCTACATTATATTAAGCTAAAACAGGTGGTAAATCCAGCAAGAGCTGCAGCGCAGCCAGATTTAGATTGTGGCATCGGCACAACCTACATGCGCCTTAATAATCTGGAGGGGTTCTCTCCAGTATTCTAGTAACACAACCGGGTTATCTCCTTCTTTAGTATCTAAATTATTTAATGGATTGGGCCGGAAGTAAGCTCCCTGCATGAGTCAGTATAATTTGTTTGTCATGCTTCCGATAAGGATGGGAAAGAGGCCAACAGATGGAGTTAGATCTTAATAACTTTTCCTGACAAAGACTGAATGCAGCATGCATAGTAGTTAAGTTTTTGTCTCCTCGCTGTAATCTAACCTCTCTATCGGAGGCAACAGCAGCGTATTCGCACTGGGTGCGTGCTTGGTCTGACTGTCGCAAAAGTCAGCGCGGGGCTTGGGGAAAGCCAGAGCAATTCCCCATTCCTTATTTGCATTTCATGAATAACAACACCCAGGGCAGAATATTACACTATGCAAAGTCATTTGCATATATTAATAATATGCCCTGGAGACATGTAAAATATGAATATAAAGGACCACGTTAACGTTGGGCTTACCCCTTGTACTCTACGCTCCTTGATCTAGCTACCCGCCCTCCCATACCGCTAGGAATCCGGTTTTTGGAGTGCATCCTTCAGACTCTTCGTCTGGTTTGGGCTTGTCCCAAGCCAGAGCGATTCCCCATTCCTTATTTACATGTCATGAATAACAATACCCAGAGCAGAATATTATGCTATA